CAAAATACCTACTTGTTATAGTGTGGGCTGCTTAGTTTACCTACCAAGCAAACCCTGGTGTTAGTGTTCTCTCATGAACTGCCTTTCGGCCGCTGACATGGTTCATGTTATGACAACCACTACCATCAGAGATATTAATGACCGAGATCACCTACGTAGGTTGATAGGTAAGTAACTATTTATTTATTTTGTAGTTTTCAGTGCACATAAAATAAAACCGTTTAACTTAAAAGTTTTTTTACCGATTTTTATTTTCTTGTTTTTAGTATTTAGTGAAATTGTTTACCGAATATTCCTCATTCTATTTAATTCGTTCAGTGCATCATTATTACATGGTTTCTTACCTGATAATTTAGTACAATCTAATTCCTCAATACATAGCCCTTCCAGAGACTTGATCGACTTAGAGCCACGTATGCTTTGATTGTCCTTCCTCAAACCATTTTGAGCCCAAATATACTACTGCATGGTCGACGGTGCTGCCCTGCATTTTATGGACGGTGAATGCTCATGACAAAACTAAGGGCAACATCCTTTTTTCAGCCGTACCATAATTGAATTTTGCTGGAAACTGTATGGCTTTAGGGTAAATAACGTGCATGCCGTCTGTGCCAAAGTCAATTAAAACTGATGATTAATCTGTTTCGTACATTTGGGTTCGACGGAACTGAGGCCAAAAAATTTCTGTAATGTGGTCTATAGCGTCATTTACCAATCCTTTTGTAACGTCAATGTTGGACCGCAACAGTACTTATGGTAAGCCTCCAGTCTTATTTATATTTGTTGGTATTTTTTGTTTATTGTTACCATGTTGTTCCCACGATTAAGGGGCATTTTGATGGTCGACCCCCCCCCCCCCCGCAGTCCAGTAAAGGGGCAAGGCTTAATATACAACAAGATGCGCCCAATCTTGAGGGGGAAGCGCTTACGACATTACATTTTTATCCACCCTAATGCCATACAGTCCTCGGCACGTTTTAACCTATTATATATATATACCTATTATATATATATACCTATATATATATATATATATATATATATATATATATACTTATTATAGTGTCTGGGTGTCTGAGTGTCAAGTGTCTGAAAAGTGTCGAGTGTCGAGTGTCTAGTGTCTGAGTGTCTAAGGTCTCGGTGTCTGAGTGTCAATTGTCTGAGAGTCTAGTGTCTGAGTGTCTTGTATCCAAGTGTCTAGTGTCTGAGTGTCTAGTGTCTGGGTGTCTGAGTGTCTAGTGTCTAAGTGTCGAGTGTCGAGTGTCGAGTGTCGACTGTCGAGTGTCGAGTGTCGAGTGTCGAGTGTCGAGTGTCGAGTGTCGAGTGTCGAGTGTCGAGTGTCAAGTGTCGAGTGTCGAGTTTCGAATGTCTAGTGTCTGAGTGTCTAGTGTCTGGGTGTCTGAGAGTCAAGTGTCTGAGAGTCTAGTGTCTGAGTGTCTTGTATCCAAGTGTCTAGTGTCTGAGTGTCTAGTGTCTGGATGTCTGAGTGTCTCTAGTGTCTGAGTGTCGAGTGTCGAGTGTCGAGTGTCGAGTGTCGAGTGTCGAGTGTCGAGTGTCGAGTGTCAAGTGTCGAGTGTCGAGTGTCGAGTGTCTAGCGTCTGAGTGTCTAGTGTCTGGGTGTCTCAGTGTAGTCCTATAATTTGATACCCATATTGTGGTGGTTGTGGAAAAATATGTACCTAGTCCGCCATATTGGAACGGCGTCCATCTTGAATTTTAAATTTTGACATAATCATCGTGTTTTACTAGTGTAGCCCTTTCATTTGATACCCATATTGCTTGGGTTAAGGAAAAATATGTTTTGCGCCATTTTGTATCGGCGGCCATCTTAGATTTATAATGTTATTGATTTTATTATATTGTATTGTCATCTAAATTAAATGTGTGTACCAAATTTCAGACCAATCTGACAACGGGAAGGTGCTTAAATTCCAATTTCTAATTTTGACCCAAATAAATAAATACCGTACAGGTCGAGCTAAATAAAATCGTTTAATAAAACCGTTTAATAAAAAAGAGTATGTCCGCCGGTCCCAGTATAGAATGGGTCACCCTTTCCTTTCCCGTGGGTGTCGTAAGAGACGATTTAGGTAGCTTATGGTGGAGGGATAGACAGCAACGTCCCTCTTAAAACATCTGTAAAAGCCTAACTGTAGTTGCCAACCCGCCTGCCAATCGTGGCAACTACTGGGAAGGCCTATGTTCATCAGTGGACAATTATTAGCTGAAATAATAATAATAAAATCTATATAATACCTATTATAAATGAAAAAGTTAGTTTATTTATTTACTAGTGGCCCGTCCTGGCGTCGCACGGGTGGGCTTTTTACATTTTAAAAAGTGCCCATTAAGGCTGCACACGCGACGGAAGCTTAACAATGGAGTAACTTCTCCCATTTTCCCAACATTTCCCTTCACTGCTCCACTCCTATTGATTGTAGCGTGATGAAAAGTATACTATAACCTGCCCAGGAGTATGAAGAATAATTGTACCAAGTTTCGTTAAAATCCGTCGAGTAGATTTTGTTTCTATATAACGACAAAAATTTTACTGATTGCATTTTTGGCATCAGTATCGATCACTAATCACCCCCTGATAGTTATTTTGTAAATATATTTCATGTACAGAATTGACTTCTCTACAGATTTATTATAAGTATGGATTACCTCTTAGCTTCTGTGTGAATTTACAGGGTAGGGCTTAGCGTAGATTTTTTTTTATAATCAAGCCAGAGAGCTGAATAGCTAAGGCTGTTGACACCGAGCCCCCGCTGACCTAATTGACATCAGGTAGACTTTTTAAAACCTCTATACTGACAGACAAAGGTGGCAAAAACCATTCATAGTCTGCCCACGTCTCTTAAACCACAAAATAACAATTTTTACAAGCAACGATCAACTTTATCCGTCCAATATTAAAGTCGACATTTATCCACCCTGTATCTGTTGCTGAATATCTCACTTGTTTCATTTTAAACACGATACTAGAATGAAAGCGATACAGTCCAAATTTAAATGGCGGATAAACTAAATTTTGTTAGTTGCAAAATATTTATTATAACCTAGCAATAAGGTTCGGATTTCAATGAGCACGCTTAATATTAACCCTTCGTCTGTAGCATCTGCTGGCGGCGAAAGTGTCTAATTATTGAAAATAATGGTTCCTTATAATATGCTACGGGGATTTTATGTAGCACGGAGGACACGCTGCATCGTGCCATTGAATTTTATATTTCATTTTTCTCAGGGGAACCGAGAGGTTTCTATAAATAAAATATTACGTACAAATTTTATTTTATTTGGGTTCGGCAAAACGCGTTCGCAGCAGAATAGATAAGGCGAGCGGTTTAGAATGTATTAATTGTAATAAATATAGAATGGTATTTATTATACATTAAAATCAAAGAAAACACCTTTGCAAATCTTTGTTTGTATACAAATTAGCTATGTTTGTGTACGACGAAATCCCGAGAAGCGAACTATGTAATTATAAAATAATAAATGACACAGTTCAACTAATTAACTCAGCATTCTACTCCACATACTTGATAGAAATATAATTTAAATTTTGTCAAATCTATGGTAAATTTGAATATTATCTAGACAGTTTTCTATCAAGCATATCATCGCTTACCATCAAATGAGGCATGACCAAGTGCAAACCCATCGAGTATATAACAAAAAAAAAAAAAAATGCAACAACAGTACTGTGGCCGTGAAACGAAGCGAAAAAAGTTAACTATAATAGGGTTTTTAAAAGCCTGCAAGATTCAATGAACCGTGAACACGGTGAATTTCGCTGAATTTTACCCTGTCCGTACAATAGTTGCCTAAATCAACCCTTTTCTGTTCTTTAACAGCTATATCTTTTAATGTAGATAGCATTTTTTTCTATACAATACTGAATACAGAGTCTATTTGATTTTATCGAGGAAGATTTTCCCAAAAAAAAACCTTTCCGGTCAATTGTTGGCATTATATTTACATTTAAACATAAATGGATTTTTTTTAAGAAGGATTTTGTATTTGTCGTATGAGCATACATTAATATTTTAAGGCTGCCTTAATGTATTGTATTGTGTTGTGTTGTGTTGTGTTGTGTTGTGTTGCGTTGCGTTGTGTTGTGTTGTGTTGTATTGTATTATATTGTATTGTAAAGTCTTCATTGCACGTAATTCAAATTGAGCACTGATAAATGATTTAATATACAATGGCGGACTTATCCCATAAAGGGATCTCTTACAGTCAACCTTTGAGAAGCTGAAAGAAAACTGTAGAATGCACAAGGGTAATAATCGTACAATTAAACTAAATAATACCCAGTTAAACATTGAATATATAATACAATAAAAACAGCTCTATATACCTATATATGTAAATAATAAAAGTACATGAATAATAATATAACATTAATACATAAATAAATAAAAACTTACACACATAAATACATATATATATACATACATACACACATACACATATATACACATATATTGTGGCTTCGGATTTGATCCAGGACAGGATCAATTTAGTTTTAAACGATAGTTACATTAAGCAATTCGGAGGTCTATCTTTAGTCCTAGAATTAAATTATAATTTAGTGATAATAATATTTTTTTTTTATACCACTGTGGTGGCAAACAAGCATACGGCCCACCTGTTGGATTTGGATGTGGATTGTTTGTTTGTACATAATAAGATTACCTACCCTATGGTTCTCTTTAAAAAACAAAACCAAGATTAACTGTATTTAAGTAGGCACAAAATCACTTTTAATTTTTTTTTTATAATTTTACTGTTGATTCGAAAAATTGTCTTTTGATAAGAAACTAAAAAAAAAAAAAATACTCGACAATAATAATAAAATAATCTTTCCAAATTTCTATAAACATTGTTTATTTAAATTTACTATATCCAAAATTAAATGGCCTTTAACATCTTTTATTTACGTTTCGTAATAAAAGATTGGCAAAAACTATATACATACTTGTATATCTTACCTCAAAAACTTCTCTCGTCGCAGAAAACGGGAGAACAGCAACGCCGACCAGCAAGTCGGCGACCGCCAGTGACACGATGAACAGATTGGTAACACTGCGCAGCTTGGAAGAGCATAGCACGGCAGCTATGACCAGGCAGTTTCCTGCACATAAGTAACACGATGGCATCAAAATTTAGGTAAAAACTGAAGCACTTTGTTAAAATCAGACATAAGAATAAGTACTGCAAAAAAATTTATTTTAATTTAAAAAAAAAAATGATGCATCAACATCGTCATACCAGCCTTTAACTGTCCACTGCTGAATATAAGCTTTCCCCTTCAGGATTTTGCCAGTAGTTGCCATGTTTAGCAGGCGGATTGGCAACTGCAGTTAGGCTTCAGAGATGTTTTAAGAAGGGCGCTGCTGCCCATTCCTTGCCCTCTCTTGATGATCTCTTATCTACGGGAAAGGAAGGGTTGGCCTATTCTATGCCAGGACCACGCGGTCATGAAAAAAAACCTTCGCGAAAGTTAAACTATTCTATTATAAAAATTATCATACGATTGGCGGAATTATCCTTTAATATACATATAGAGAAATTATGTATTTTTCATTTCTAAAAAGTCAGTATTTTGCTCTCTGAGTAGTTAAATTCCAAAGTCAGCTATGAAATGTGTTGTATAGTTGTAGCACATACGTGTAGAAATTTTTTGTAAGTTTTTTTTTAAATCACTGAAATGTGTATGTACACCTGCAATGCCGCTAGTGTTGTGGGTGATCATGGGTGGCGGTAGTCACTTACCATCAGGTGAACCGCATGCTCGTTTGCCCCCTGTGTTGTAAAACTTAAAAAAAAATTGCTGTTACCGATCCTGAAGAAACCTCTTTACCTCATTTTTTGAAGAAACCCATGCTGTAGTCTCTTGAAAAAATCTCGATAGAAAGCTCTTTTCTTAACCTGTACGTTGGTGGAAGAAAACGTCTTTGAAACCGCGCTGTATCCGTACGCGACCATCTTAGGTTCTAGGGTATTACATGTAGTAATGTATGTATGTATGAGTATGTATGGTTAGCTCTTTATACCTATATTAACTTGTACATTTATGCTATTTTGCTTGAATATTTACATTAATGACTATTGTTTTTTTTTATCTATCTAGTCATCTACATATTGATTTATTTTTAATCGCCCTATGAACGATAAGAACATTTCGTAGTCACATCAGATTTATAATATTTAAATATATTTAACTATATATTTTATATATTTAAATAAATTTATATGTTAATTATATATAATTAACATATAAAATAGTATAATGTCGAGGCTGTTTCGACGCCGAAGAAACGGCTGCTCACGTAATCCTGGAATGTGAGGCTGTGGCCCATCAACGTTTAGAAATCCTCGGAACGGTGAGGTCGCTCCGTGAGGCCTGTGAAGAACCCAGGAAGCTTCTGCGCTTCTGGACGGAGCTAGGTTGGCTGCACTAGCCACGACTCATACGCACAATGGCCCAAATGAGAGGCTAAGCGCGTAAAATGGAGTCCTTTTCACATTCACATTCACACAATATATAAAATTGTCCGTTTTATATAAAGTAAAAGGCGAGCTATTAGTATCGTGGGAATTGCCGAGCTGAGCAAAATTCCGGAGTCTCAACAATTACATAGAGTTAGCCTCTGTCAGTGTTCCGTACTGCTTTTCCCATGGGGAGTGGCCAGAAAAATTACATTCCCTTATTCCACCTTCCTCTTTCCGATATCCCTCCACGAGGATGGGCCAGAGACTACATCCCTACACAGTAGACTACCCACGCTCGCGTACAAATAAGTTTCCGAACTCCTACGTAAACCGTGCCGTGTTCCCATTACCCTTTAACTGGGATCCTTCAAACGTTGCATGAAAAACTACTTAATGGGCCGGCATAGTGGGTCATAATGAGATCATAATGGGTCATCCTTATCATTGAGAGGTATGAAAAATAGATGTTGGCCGATTCTCAGACCTACCCGATATGCACACAAAATTTCATAAAAATCGGTGGAAAGGGATTGTTAGTAATGGAGACTAAGAATCCCATTGCTAGCAATATACCCAACCAGGTCGATCTCCTCGCGGTTCTCCCTGGAAACTATCATGGTTAATTCCTGATGAATTCATCATGATGGGCTAACTGGCCTGTTTTCACTCTCACCACCCATCATAATGGGTCACCTTTATCATTGAGGGGTATTAAAAATAGATGTTGGCCGATTCTCAGACCTACCGAATATGCACACAAAATTTCATAAAAATCGGTAAAGCCGTTTCGGAGGAGTTTGGTAACAAACACCGTGACACGAGAATTTTATATATAAGATATATATAGATATCTAATTTTCACTAATTACGTTATTTCTGAGGATTGAGAGCAATGCCCCTTACTGGCTGTTATCAAGCGCTCCGTTCAATGTAAATTGACTACAGCCTTATGAATGCATAAAGCCATATTGCCGATTTGTAATTATAATTATTGCTTCTCACTGAGCTGAGTAATTGCATTTGAACAAGGCGTCTAGACGTTCGACGTTCTATATAACATATGCATAACAGATGGCGTTAGTGGGAGGTAATCAACCCTTATTATAGTTTAGCCTATATTTGTCAGTAAAAAAAAAATTATTTCACTACATTGTAAAGTGTAAAGTCCCTAAATCCCAAAGTAGGGGGAGAAGGGATTGTTAGTAATGGGGATAAGTAGCCCTATTGCTAGCAATATACCCTGTCAGGTCGACCTCCTCGTGGTCCCCCCGGCAAGCCATCGTGATTGATTTATTGTTAGATTCGTCACGGTGGCCTAACTGACCTGCTTCATCCTCACCTATCATCTATCACTGGTACCCCGCCAGTGTATATCGATAGCGCAGGCGAGGTTACCATTCCATTATCATCCATTAAAAAAAAAGCTTTCGAGGTAGGTATGAAAAAACCTGCAGTAAAGGAGTGATTTATTTTATTTTATTTGAGAAACAATATATACATATAAAAAACATACAAATCAGTAAAGTTTGCACAAGTAAATAGAACATGTTTAACGCTAGTTGTTTCCCGCAGCGCTGCCGCGTGAATCGGCGTAGAAAATATCCCAGCCAATTCAACTGATCGGTAAATTTACGGCATTTTATATGTGATTCTTTAGATTGATATAACTTTTTTTATTTATGAACCGATTGAAATAAAATAAACACTAAATGTAAAGTGGAGTAAACCGCAATGCATTAATAAGAATCGCATTCAAATCGGTTAAGCCGTTTCTGAGTTTAGCGTGCACAAACGTATAGACAAATATACATACAGACGAAAATTTGAAAAATCATTATTTTAAGTTCTATTAGATTCATAATAGTTTTTCTTATATATCTTATCTTCTATATACAGACAGATTAGACGGATTAGACAGTAATTTATTTTATTCAACTTAGAATAGTAAACAAGCTGACGGCCCACCTGATGGAAAGTGGTAACCGTCGCCTATAGACATGAGCAGTGCCATGGACATAACAGAGTATACTGTTTCGCTCATAATACTCCCATGCGTTGCTGTACCTTAGAACTCAGGTGTTATTCCTCTGTACCCTGTAAATTCACTGCCGTATCTCACCCTTCAAACCGGAACACAACCATGCAAAGACAACTGCTTCACGGCAGAAACACAAATGGGACATAGGTGTCCAAGCAAAACACCTTTTATACAAAGTTTCCCTCTGGTGATTTTATTTCAACTATTTTTTCAAATGATCTCGTTGCTACCTGTGTTTAGGGTTGAAAATTGAATGGCAACCCCGCCTGCACTATCTATGTATATTGGGTCATGACGCAGTAGCATTGGGTACTGTGAATTAATAATTTATAGTGCAGCCTATCTACGAAACATCTCGCAGTTTATCCGCGTGTGTGCAGGATTAATTCATTTATTTATTAATAACGTTAGAAATACCCGTTACTCGGTATTTCAATTGCATCAATTTATTTATTATTCACGTGGATACAATTTAGGTTTACCAGAGGGAGACTTTGTACAAACGTCGATCGCTTGGGTACCTCTGTACCATTCGTGTTTCTATCGTGAAGCAGTTGTGTTTGCATGGCTGTGTTCCGGTTTGAAGAGTGGGATATGGCGTGCATTTACTGGGTACGGAGGAATAACACCTGAGTCCTCAGGAACGGCACTGCATGGGGGGTATCATGGGCGAAACAGTATACTCTGTTATGTCCACGGTACTGCTCATATCTACAGGCGACGGTTACCACTTTCCATCAGGTGGACCGTCAGCTTGTTTGCCATTCTAAGTCGTATAAAAAAAGCGATTATCACTTTCTAATACTACTTCTTGATAAAATTTCTATGGAACCATATCTGTAAGTATATTCTTTCAGACAATAAAATAATTTCCCAAATTAGTTTAGAAATGACGGAGTTATGAGGTAAAAAACATAAAAATGGTCCAAAAATGGACAGCAGCATTCCTCTTAAAATATCATCAAAATTTCACCGCGTTTGCTAACTCGCCTACCAAGCTTGGCAACTACTGGCAAAACCTTTCTAATAAAGGAGGCCTATGTTCAGCAGTGGACAGTCAACGGCTTCTTCTTTTGAAATCGGTTGAAAATGACATGGAACAAAATCCTCAGAGCGTCCCTCACTAATATTTAGGTACCTCAGTACATCAGAGTACATTTATCTTCTTTAGGTCGCCGTTAAAAGTTCTATTTATTTTCATTTACTGGAATATTTATACGGCGACGCCGAGTGCCCACCGAAGTTACTTTTTCAATACAAACTTGCTCGGCTACCGTGAATTGTTAAGTTTGATCGATTCGCTCAAGTTTTCACCGCGGGAAATTCTTGATTACCTCCGGCTTATACGGGAATGTTTAACGGGACGTGGGTATGCAAAAACCTTTAATATAACTAGTTCGTAGTCATAAGATAAGGGCTGGTTTTTTTTTAATGGGTGATAATGAAATGAAATGGTTACCCGGCCCGCGCTATCGGTATACGCTGGCGGGGCACCAGTGAAGGGTGATAGGTGACGAAAGCAGGTCAGTTACCCCATCGTGACGAATTGCACTAGAATTAACCATGACAGTTTTCAGAGGGAACCACGGAGGTCGACCTGA